TTGAATAATGAATGATGCCTAATATATATTAAGATATTTAGATAGCATATGTGATCAGGATTAGGATTTTGCTAGCTCAGGAGATAAAGTGGGTTGCAGAAATGTACCAAGTGAGTTGGATGAAGAGGTTGTGCATCTTACTTTTTTGGGGGGGAGAGGGGAGGGAGGTTAGTAGGGTGGGAGATCTCAGGTTCCTTAGCTTCTTAAACAAGCTACACTGCCTTTCCTTACTACTATTTTTTTTAGCTTTGGACTTTGAAAGAATGAAAAGAATGGATGCCTTCCCCTTGTACATTACTTTCCAAAGTTATTGTTACAATTAGAGACAAAAGGCCCTCAGCTGCTGCCTTATTTTTTGTGTCAGATTCCCAATGGCCCTATCACTGGTTGGTGGCTAATCATCACAGGTTTCATGAGGAAAGAAAAGTCTGCTCCTCAAACAACGAATCAGTGAACACCTACAAGCAAACCAAGTCATTACTAAAAGCCAACATGGGTTTGTCAAAAACAGATCATGCCAGACAAATCTTATTGCATTCTTTAACCAAGTGACAAAATTAGTGGATCAGAGGAATGCTGTGGATATAATTTACTTGGACTTCAGTAAGGCATTTGACAAAGTAGATCACAACCTACTACTTGATAAGATAGAAAAATGTGGGTTAGACAGCATCACTACCAGATGGATCCGTAGCTGGCTGACCGTCCGTACTCAGCATGTGGTCCTCAATGGAACCGCATCTACATGGAGCGAAGTGTGTAGTGGGGTGCCCCAGGGCTCTGTTCTGGGCCCAATGCTCTTCAACATCTTTATCAATGATTTGGACAAGGGGATAGATGGGGAACTCATCAAATTTGCAGATGACACCAAGCTGACAGGAATAGCCAAAACCCCAGAAGACAGGCTTAGAATACAGGAGGATCTGGACAGACTTGAACACTGGGCGCTATCTAACAAAATGAAATTCAATGGTGAAAAAAGTAAGGTTCTACATTTAGGCAAGAAAAAACAAATGTACAGGTATAGTATAGGGGGTACCTTGCTCAATAGTAGTAACTGTGAGAGGGATCTCGGAGTCCTAGTGGACAATCACTTAAATATGAGCCAGCCGTGTGCTGCAGCTGCCAAAAAAGCCAACACAGTGCTAGGCTGCATTAACAGAGGGATAGAATCAAGATCACAAGAAATATTAATACCACTCTACAATGCCTTGGTAAGGCCATACTTGGAATACTGCATCCAGTTTTGGTCACCATGATGTAAAAAAGATGTTGAGACTCTAGAAAGAGTACAGAGAAGAGCAACAAAGATGATTAGGGGACTGGAGGTTAAAACATATAAGGAAAAGTTGATGGAATTGGGTATGTCTAGTTTAATGAAGAGAAGGATGAAAGGAGACATGATAGCAGTGTTCCAATATCTCAGGAGCTGCCACAAAGAAGAGGGAGTCAAGCTATTTTCCAAAGTGCCTGAAGGCAGGACAAGAAGCAACGGATGGAAACTAATCAAGGAGAGAAGCAACCTAGAACTAAGGAGAAACTTCCTGACAGTTAGAACAATTAACTAGTGGAACAACCTGGCTCCAGAAGTGGTGAATGCTCCAACACTGGAAGTTTTTAAGAAGAGACTAGATAGCCATTTGTCCAAAATGGCATAGGGTTACCTGCCTGAGCAGGGGGTTGGACTTGATGACCTCCAAGGTCCCTTCCAACTTTATTATTATTATTATTATTATTATTATTATTATTATTATTATTATTATTATTATTATTATTATTATTATTATTATTATTATTATTATTATTATTATTATTATTATTATTATTATTATTATTATTATTACAGTTGTGGGAGGAGGAATCTATACATGCAGGTAGATTGTTTGAATGGTGTAAGGTAGATTCATCTAGAAGGTTGGCTTAGGTTTGTTTGCGTGATTATTCCCCAAAATAAATTAAAACGGCACTCTGGAATAGATGAGGCATTTTCTTGTAGTTGCATCATGTAGGGCTAACTTGCAGAACACGGTATTTCACGTGCCCTTCTCAAAACATTGTCAACAATCTTACCAACTCTTAATTTTTAATGTGACAAGGGGAAAATTCAGGGAGTAATCAACTGGATAGTGTTAAACAAATTTAAACAATTTTATGTCTTGGCTTGACCATAAAACTCTTGGAAAGTGGCTTTCAGTCTGCCATTCAGACTAAGGGCAACCCTCAGATTCAAAACAATGGCATGTTCTCATTCATTGTAAGGAAAAACCAGAAGAAGTGATTGTTTGACCTACCACTACTGACCTTCTCAGTGAAAAGGTACTGAGAGTTGGGAATCCTTCCTTTTCTGAAGTTCAGCTGAACAGGTTTGAGGCCCTATAGCAGGGGTCTCCAAATTTGGCAACTTGAAGACCTGTGGACTTCAACTCCCAGAATTCCTCAACCAGCCATGCTGGCTGAGGAATTTTGGGAGTTGAAGCCCACAAGTCTTCAGGTTGCCAAGTTTGGAGACCCCTGCTCTATAGCAGGGCTTTTCAACTGTTGGTACGTGTACCACCTGTGGTACTTTGCCACTTGGTAGGTGGTACACGACTGCTAGCCAAGTGTAGCAGGAGAGGGGAATGAGCCTAAGCAGCCTGAGGGAGAGGCAGCTGCAGCTGCATAACTGTCTGGACTCGGCAGAAGCCCCAGGAGCCAGCAGGGCTCCAGCTGATTGGCTCTTCCAGAAGCAGCTGGAGCTGGAGGTGAACTGAAGAAAAGGGGGGGGGAGGAGACAACAGGAAAGGTTTAATTTATTTAAATAATAAATAAATAATGGGGTATTTTAGAGCAGGCTTTTTATTCAATATTTATTGTGATTTTTATTATTGCCTGTTCACCGCCCTGAGTCCCGTAAGGGAGATAGGGCGGTATATAAATTTAAATAATAAATAAATAATAAATCCCTTTAAACAAATGAGATTAGTTTTACCCCCTTTAATTGAGTCTGTCTATGGCTTTTAGAAAGTTTTCTTTGAAGGTAAAGAGGCTTAATTTAAAGCTAAAGCTTTTTGCAATTGCCAGAGCCTTTCAGTCTAGGATTGCAACATTGTGACAGTGACATGCCTGAGGCAGCTTAAAGAGAAAAAAAACTGGAGGCTTATTTTGTGAGCCTTTCTTGCTTTGCACTTGATTCCTGTGTCTTTAACTAAGGGTACAGAGAAGGGATTGGGGGGTGCGTTCTTATTACACTGTGGAAGAGCTCAGAAGGGAGAGAGGAAGAAGGGCCGACCAGCTAGCTCAGGAGTCTACAAAATTAGCAACTTTAAGACCTGTGGACTCCAACTCCCAGAATTCCTCAACCAGCCATGAGGGCTGAGGAATGCTGGGAGTTGAAGTCCACAAGTCTTAAAAGTGCCAAGTTTGAAGACCCCTGAACTAGCTGGTAGTGGTGCATATTAATAAACATGGATACATTCATCATACATTTGTCAGTGCAAAGGGAAAATGATTCAGCAAAGGAACAGCCACCGAAGAAATTAAAACTGGTACTTTTTATTTTTTTATACAGCTTGTAATATTTTATTAGATTATAGAATAAAATACAAAAATACAAAAGCAAATAGTAGGACACAGTGGGGAGGAAAAAGTGAGGGGGAGAAGGGAAAAAAACAGACTTCCTCTGTTGCAGTAGAAGGAAACATTAACATTGAACCTCAACTTTTTACTTTTCCATAATATTATAAACTAGCAATTTCTATAACAACAAATGAATCTAATCAGCAAAACCCAAAATCTCCCCCCTTTTTTTAGTCATCAAGTTTTTGACACCTTGCTAAGCACTGGTGGTACTCAAATATTGTCACATCCTAAAAGTGGTACAATCTATGAAAAGGTTGAAAAGCCCTGGATTAGGGGACTGGAGGCTAAAGCATATAAGGAACGGCTGCTGGAATTGGGTATGTCTAGTTTAACAAAGAGAAGGACGAGGGGGGACAGGATAGCAGTGTTCCAATATCTCAGGAGCTGCCACAAAGAAGAGGGAGTCAAGCTATTCTCCAAAGCGCCTGAAGGCAGGACAAGAAGCAACGGGTGGAAACTAATCAAGGAGAGAAGCAACCTAGAACTAAGGAGAAACTTCCTGACAGAACAATTAATCAATGGAACAACCTGCCTCCAGAAGCAGTGAATGCTCCAACACTGGAAGTTTTTAAGAAGAGATTGGACAGCCATTTGTCCGAAATGGTGTAAGGTGTCCTCCCTGAGCAGGGGATTGGACTCGATGACCTCCAAGGTCCCTTCCAACTTTATTATTATTATTAAAAGATAGCCTTTCTGAGTTACAGGACCAAAAGCTGGAATTTTGTTGTCTAAAGCAATGGATGAGATTGGCCAAAGGCTAGAAAAAGAACTTTTCCTGTTCCAAGAAATGGGGAAACTCTTTCAAACATATCCTGAGCAGAAAGCAAGAGAATTGTATCAAATTCCCCTCAGGAGAAGCAATCAGCCATCTGCAATACCTATGCTGTGCTATAGATTTTAGATTTTCACCCCTGGTGGCAGGGGAGGGGGGAACCTCTATATAGCTTTGAAGTATGGCGCTGAATAATAACCACCCACAATTAAAGCAAATGATTTTTTAAAGAATCAGCTGTTAATTATTTTTTGGTTTATGTGTAGAGGTAGTGGTGGGAAAATTAATGTGTTAGCTTACATGGTTTTTGTGCCGTGTAAGCCTACGAGCTAAGCAATTTTAAGGTAGCTCTTCACTTCAAAGGCACCTTTGAGACAAGTTGAAGGGGTTTTTTTATTGCTGCCAGATAAAACCCAGCCCAGTAATGATCTTATTCTTAATTAATTATCTAATTCCAGCCAAGCCCATCTCCACATATAGATGTATATATAGAGAGGGGAAACCAACTCTGCACTTCAGAGAGGGGTGTGTTGTCCTTCTCTCTCTTTGTGTCTCTCTTCTTTAGCCCACCTTTTGCTCAGCTCTTTTAGCACTCTTTGAATTAGACACAATGAGTAGGCAATTCAGTTCTAGATCTGGGGGAGGGATTAGGACTTCACGGGGATATACCTCTTCCACTGCTGTCATTCCCGGTGGGACAAAAGCTAGTTTCAGCTCAGTTTCATTACCCCGAGGTGTGAAGGGAAGCACAGGATTGGGTGGGGGCTTTGGTAGTAGAAGCCTCTACAATCTGGAGGGTAGCAAACGAATCTCTTTTGGAATCAGCCATGGTGGCTTTGGAGGAGGCTTTGGGGGTGGCCTAGGTTTTGGTGGTGGTGGTGGTGGTGGATTTGGTAGTGGCGATGGATATGGCTATGGAGCTGGAGGTTATGGTTTATCTTTAGGAGTGGGAAGCTATGGTGGTGGAGGAAGAATGGGTCCCATGGTTTCTCCTGGGGGCATCCAGAAAGTGACTGTCAATCCCAACCTCCTATCACCGCTGCACTTAGAGATTGACCCTGAGATTCAAAAAGTGCGGCAGCATGAAAGGGAACAGATCAAGACCCTCAACAACAAGTTTGCATCCTTCATTGACAAGGTGAGTCAATTAAATAGATCATTAAGTTCTTTGCAGGTAGTCTCAAAAAGTCTCAAAATCTGTGTATAAGATTGCAAGAGAGAAATGGACAAATGAACCATCCAAGTGCGTCTTGGATAAAAATGGGGTGAATGCTCCAACACTGGAAGTTTTTAAGAAGAGACTGGACAGCCATTTGTCCGAAATGGTATAGGGTTTCCTGCCTGAGCAGGGGGTTGGACTAGATGACCTCCAAGGTCCCTTCCAACTTTACTATTATTACTATTATTACTATTACTATTACTATTATTATTATTACTATTATTATTATTATTATTATTATTATTATATGAGTGTTCCAAAGCAAAAATTTAATTTCTTGAAAGACAGGAGGAGTTAAAGTAATACTTTGGCAGCCAGAAGATCACATTTTATGTTGCATGCCTGTCCAAGGCTTGCAAAATTTGCATAATTATGTAAAGTGGAGAGAGCTTTCTGATTTGGGGGTTTCTTTTTAATAATAATAATAATAATAATAATAATAATAATAATAATAAAGTTGGAAGGGACCTTGGAGGTCATCTAGTCCAACCCCCTGCTCAGGCAGGAAACCCTATACCATTTCGGACAAATGGCTGTCCAGTCTCTTCTTAAAAACTTCCAGTGTTGGAGCATTCACCGCTTCTGAAGGCAGGTTGTTCCACTGGTTAATTGTTCTAACTGTCAAGAAGTTTCTCCTTAGTTCTAGGTTGCTTCTCTCCTTGATTAGTTTCCATCCGTTGCTTCTTGTCCTGCCTTCAGGCACTTTGGAAAATAGCTTGACTCCCTCTTCTTTGTGGCAGCTCCTGAGATATTGGAACACTGCTATCATGTCCCCCCTCGTCCTTCTTTTCATTAAACTAGACATACCCAATTCCAGCAGCCGTTCCTTATATGCTTTAGCCTCCAGTCCCCTAATCATCTTTGTTGCTCTTCTCGGTACTCTTTCTAGAGTCTCAACATCTTTTTTACATCGCGGTGACCAAAACTGGATGCAGTATTCCAAGTCTGGCCTTACCAAGGCATTGTAAAGTGGTATTAACACTTCACGTGATCTTGATTCTATCCCTCTGTTAATGCAGCCTAGCACTGTGTTCGCCTTTTTGGCAGCTGCAGCACACTGCTGGCTCATATTTAGGTGATTGTCCACTAGGACTCTGAGATCCCTCTCACAGTTACTACTATTGAGCAAGGTACCCCCTATACTTTGTTGTTGTTGTTAATTGCGAAGTCGTGTCCGACCCATCGCGACCCCATGGACAATGTTCCTCCAGGTGTTCGTGTCCTCTATCATCTTCTGGAGTCCGTTTAAGTTCACGCCTACTGCTTCAGTGACTCCATCCATCCACCTCATTCTCTGTCGTCCCCTTCTTCTATTGCCCTCAATCTTTCCCAGCATTAGGCCCTTCTCCAGTGAGTCCTTCCTTCTCATTAGGTGGCCAAAGTATTTGAGTTTCAACTTCAGGATCTGGCCTTCTAAACAGCAGTCGGTGTTGATCTCTTCTAGGACTGACCGGTTTGAACACCTTGCAGTCCAAGGGACTTGCAGGAGTCTTCTCCAGCACTATAGTTCAAAGGCCTCAATTCCTTGGTGCTCAGCCTTTCTTATGGTCCAACTTTCACATCCATACATTGCAACTGGGAAAACCATGGCCTTGATTATACGCACTTTTGTTGGCAGGGCGATGTCTCTGCTTTTTAGTATGCTGTCTAGATTTGCCATAGCTTTCCTCCCCAGGTGTAAGCGTCTTTTAATTTCTTGGCTGCAGTCCCCATCTGAGGTGATCTTGGAGCCCAGGAAAATAAAATCTGTCACTACCTCCATTTCTTCCCCATCTATTTGCCAGGAATTGAGAGGGCCGGATGCCATGATTTTGGTTTTCTTAATGTTGAGTTTCAAGCCAACTTTTGCATTCTCCTTCTTCACCCGCATCAAGAGGCTCTTTAGTTCCTCTTCACTTTCTGCCATTAGAGTGGTATCATCTGCATATCTTAGGTTGTTGATATTTGTCCCTGCAATCTTAATTCCAACTTTTGATTCATCTAACCCTGCCTTTCTCATGATGTGCTCTGCATATAAGTTAAATAGGCAGGGCAACAGTATACAGCCTTGCCGGACTCCTTTCCCAATTTTGAACCAATCAGTGGTTCCATGTCCAGTTCTCACTGTTGCTTCTTGACCCACATATAGGTTTCTCAAGAGACAAATAAGATGGTCTGGTACTCCCATCTCTTTAAGAACTTGCCACAATTTATTGTGATCCACACAATCAAAGGCTTTAGCATAATCAATGAAGCAGAAGTAGATATACTGTTTTTCTGGAACTCCCTAGCTTTCTCCATGATCCAGCATATGTTGGCAATTTGATCTCTAGTTCCTCTGCCTCTTCGAAATCCTGCCTGTACTTCTGGTAGTTCTCGATCCACATACTGCTGGAGTGTAGCTTGTAGGATTTTAAGCATAACTTTACTAGCATGTGAAATGAGTGTAATGGTGCGATAGTTTGAACATTCTTTGGCATTGCCTTTCTTTGGAATTGGAATGCAAACTGACCTTTTCCAATCCTGTGGCCACTGTTGAGTTTTCCAAATTTGCTGGCAAATTGAGTGTAGCACTTTTATTGCATCGTCTTTTAAGATTTTGAATAGCTCAGCTGGAATACTGTCACCTCCACTAGCTTTGTTGTTGCTAAGATTTCCTAAAGCCCATTTCACTTCACATTATAGGATGTCTGGCTCAAGGTCGGTGACCCCCCCATCGTGGTTATCTGGGACATTAAACTCGTTCTTGTATAGTTCTTCTGTGTAGTTTTGCCACCTCTTCTTAATCTCTTCTGCCTCTGTTAGGTCCCTGCCATTATGGTCTTTTATCATGCCCATCTTTGCATGAAACATTCCCTTCATATCTCCAATTTTCTTGAAGAGATCTCTGGTCCTCCCTATTCTGTTGTTTTCTTCTATTTCTTTGCACTGTTCATTTAAGAAGGTATTC